CAGACCGTGCCTTGTCGCATGCATTATCTAAATTATCTACACATGAATCCGCTCCCTTGCTGACATGCCGCAGAAAGAGTCGGATGCCTTGCAAGAGAAAATCACCGCCCTCGTCGCAGAACAGTCTGCTCGTCAGCGTTCGTTGCCCAACTGACTACTACATATTCGTCCCACTGTGCTAACCCGGCTAGACCGCGGCGAGGAAACCTCAGCCCGTATTGATGACGAGCTTGAAGACCTTCTGCGCGACAACATACGTAATCTAAACGAGGCACAGACCCTTCTCCAGCAGGTCGAAGGCGGCAATGATGTCTCCACCCAGATAGAACTCCTGGCTGCCCTCCGTCAGTCGGAAGAGGCCCCGACCTCAGCATCACGAGCCACCAGCGTTGGGCACGGAAAGTCTGGACGCGACCGCCAAGGCAAGCGAAAGCACAACGACAACATTGACGACCGCGACAGCATGGCTGCGGACAGTCCTGGAGGTCCCAGCCCAAAAGTCGTTATCAGCAGTCAGAAAGATCGACTGGTAGCCAAGTCGGGCAGTAGCAGAGCAGGATCGGTGCCTGTTGCGAGAGAGGGCAGTGTGAAGATGGACGAAGACGACTCGGGTAAGGGTAAGATGGTTCTTCCTTCTTCCAAAACCAAGCCCACAATCAAGTACAAGACCAAGCGTTGAGCTGTACCTTGCTATCGGCGTTCACCTTAGACGGCAGACGATACCCACTGGCATATTTCCTTTCGGCTTGTTCGAGGTTTGTAGTCGGATAGGCAAGCTCATAATCTCACCTCATCTGATCTCATACTTCTTTTCATGTGCTCATGCCACCATGTACCATCTCTTCTATCACAGCGCCCTTTTTACACATCGTCCCATGTCTCTTCAGACACCACGTCAGCTGACGACATTACTACAGAAATCCGACCACGTCTTTCGCCACAGACAGAGGTCCTCTACCGAAACAACGCGAAGAATCGCTCTTCGGCGTCCTCCATGTCGTTCGAGGGCGAGGGCATCTTATGCCGCGTGACATCCGTTATCGGCGAAGGAAAGCAACGTCGGTACGAGATCATCGATGCTGATCCAGACCCTCCAACACCATCAGTACCCTATCGCGCTTCCGTTAACCACCTGATACCCATCCCACCACCCTCATCAAACACCACATTACCAGACCTTAGCAAAGGCAAGAATGTTCTCGCTCTCTACCCAGGTACCACTACTTTCTACAAAGCGGAAGTGGTGGCTGTCTGGAAGCAGAGTGATGGTAAGGTCAAGAAAGAAGATGGTGGCAAAGAAGGAGATGGTGTGGACAATCTCGTTAGGTTGAGGTTTGAAGGTGAAGATGAGGCAGATCGCGAGATGAGTGTAGAAAGGAGGTATGTGCTGCCTGATAGATGAGTGAGTAGCACTTCGGCTCCCCAGGGAGGGATGGACTTCCGGTCATAGCAGGCTCGCATCGAGTCTTATTGTGGAGTGTTGGATACCATTGGGGGAGGTTGTTCTTTGGCATGGGTTGGCTGCGGATACCTCTTGTGGTATATTTTTGCTTTTTACCCTCGCATACTCTAGTCACGCTTTCTTTACTTAGTACTATCGATACCTTATCACTAAAAAGTCATACCCATCTGCAATGGTTCGCTGTCTAGTCAAGCCGTAGAGTGTGGCCAAGCCGCTAGCACCAAAGCAAGCAAGCGCCATCTGGACATGTCCCAGAGCGCATCGCCAACAAGCCTCAAGACTCCGCAACGCGAACCAACCTGACCCCGCACAAGACGCAGAAAAGCATTCTATAGCCCGATCCAGTGTCGCGTCACTGAGAAGATCTTGGTAGGCGCCTACGATCCCACCATCAGACTTCCAATCCAATCACAAGCCCGACTACCGAAGCCATCAAGCCCGCGCCGCACGCCAACTCCACCAATATCCGCAGCTACCTAATCTCCACCACCCACCCACACTATTGTCGCCATGAACAACTTCTCCTTCCTCGAGTCCTCCCAACAACAACAAGCCCAGCAACAGCACAATCAAAACCGCCCTCCGCCCTCTCCCTCACATTCACAAGCTGGCAGTATTGCAGGATCGCAAGTTAACGGCGGCGGCCAAAACGGCGTTCCAATGGTTAATGGCCTACCCAGCGGCGGCCAGCAGACGGACATGAACCATCTGTGGGCGGTGGTGCAGCAGCTGAGTCAATTGCTAGAGGAGAACAAGGCCCAAACGAGGGGCATCGTAGAGGGTGTCGCTGCGATACAAGGGAGGGCTGCACAAGAAGAGGGAGGCGAGGTCGGTGGGCTCAATCCGAGAAGTGCGAGTGGAATGGGCATGAGGGAGGTTAATGGAGAGATCAATGGTATGTGGAGTCTGTATTGAGAGGGTTTGGACGGCGATACCACCCGTCTGGACTCGGATGAACACATACTAACACATATTACAGCAGCGACAGTAGCACATCTACAATCACAGCTCTCGAGCGCGCAAACAACCATCGCATCCCTAACCTCAACCAACACGTCCCTCTCCGCCCTCCTCACCGACTACGAATCCGCTTTGACTCTTCTCCTCGATAAACTTCGTCCGTACGCATATTCGCAAACCTCAGCCATGCTTGCTCTTCACAAGCACTACCAAGGGCTTCTAGACCAGGAACGCTCAACGTCTATGGCATTGCGGCTAGAGCATGCAGACTGGCAGGCCGGGTTGAGTCGCGTCGCGGAGAACGCAAGGAGCGCATTAAGATGCCAGAGCGAAGTCGAACAAGGATTGAGGGGCAGATGTAAAGAGTTGGGAGAAGAGAATCGCGTGTTGAGACGGATGGTGGGATGGGAAGAGAGGGAAAGTAGTGATGATGAGGGCGAGGACAAGGCATAGTTGGGCTCCTGTGAGATGTCATAGGAGGTATATCTTTCACGCATTTTTGTTATGCATAGCGTTGGCGTTTGGGGACATCACAAGTCGGTCACGCTTTAGGAGGGGCATACCCACGGCTGGCGTATTCTTTCACCAATTGGACGACACTGGAACACATGAACGTCAAACGTACTCAGTTGCAAGCTCCCACGTCACTTTCAAGCAACCAAAGTTCTGGATACATTCCATTACGAAAGTAGTAACGTTCACCGAATCTTCCATTTGAAACCGCTCCCATGTCGTACGCGGGAACTAAATACATCCCCCACTATACACCACGCAGCACCCGTCCCCTAGAGCCATCGAAATCTCCACTACCTCCTCCATAACGATAGAAAATCGCAATCCACCCCACGACATGATACGCATCCGCATCCCTCACAACCCCCATATCATCTCCTTCAAAACCATGCACGTCATAGGTACCATCGCCTTGATACACAACCGAGGCTACGTTGTGCATCTCGCAAAGGATGGTGTGGCCCTCTGCTCGAAGCCAGGAGCGCGTGTCGGCTACATCTTGTTGCGAGACTGTGGGGTGTGGGGGAGGGAGGTCGGCTAGTGAGGCGGGTGAGGGGAGGGGAAAGAGAGAGTCTGTTGATGGAGATGATGAGGGTGGAGATGGTGAAGATGGGGATGGAGATTGGGAGCGGGAACCACGGCGCTGTACTTCTCCATGGGGTGGTGTTTCAGTGTGCCTGAAATCGTGTAATTCGTGCAACGCGCCTACGACAATCTCTGCGTTTAGTTCTTCCCGGAAACGTTGATGGATAGCATCGTTGCGTGCTATGATAGCTTGCTCGATTGTACCGCTGTTCATTGGACTTGGTTCAGGATCGGAAAGTACGAAGCTTTCGGGATGGGGAAGTTCAGAGGGGTCTTGACTGGTTGCGTCCTCGAGGATTTCGCCTTCCTCTGAACCTTCTCCGTGCTCGTGGGTATGAGCAGATGCCCACCCCTCGTAGTCCCCTGAATCTTCGTCAGTCTGACGGTCGTCGTCGTGTTGCTCTTGCTGGTGATCCTCATTGTCTACTGCATTCTCCGCGGCCCTCGCTTCGAATTCTTGCATATTCTGCGGGACCCAGACCTCGCCATTCATGTTGGCACCCCTAGTCATCCAGTTCACACAGTTCACTAGCCCAATGCGTCTCGTCTCAAGCTCCTGGCTTGCCCAAGAGTCAGCAAGACCGTCCTCGCTGAGCCTGTTCCGGATATGATTCGCTACGATAAGCTCAAGCCAGTTGTCCCCGATCTCTTCATGCCAGTCGCATATGAACTCGTGCGCTTGGTGATGATGTTCAAGATGCCATCCTCTCCTCACTTCGCATAGCATGTACACGAGATCTGGGTGACCACTCCGGATTTCTCCATCGTACAATGAGTCAGCGTAAGCCATAAGCCAGTAGTAAGCCTCGCGGTTGTATACACCCTCGTTGTGCTCTTCTTCGTTATTGCGCATTTGTTCGGGTGTCAGAGCATTAAGGAGACAGAAGACCGTCCGGCACATGGGACAGGCGTTGCGGTTCTCACTGGCTGATTTCATCCAGTGGAGACAACATTCATTGTGGAAGATGTGGCCGCATGGAAGGCGCACTGCAACGCCATTGTCCCAGTTGAAGTCTTCCCAACATATACTGCAGGACTCGGGAAGCTGCTCGGAGTACTGAACGGACCCATCCATGGTAGCTATGAATTGCCCCATTGCGGGCAAGTCTGGCATGACACCATCTTGCTGGTCAGGAACTGGAGCGGTAGTTTGCATCGACATGGTTGAGTTGAGTTAGGGGTGTGGCTTGCTTGACAGTTGGGAGCAAACGAGTGGAAGCTTATATACAGACTCCTTGGGGTTCATCGGGTCTTTCCCACAGGGAAAGCGATGCTCAGTACATGTTGCGGGTAGGATAATTCACTGCGCGCATCGCCACAACTAAGTACACCACATGTACTGCTACCTATAGCCATTCACTATGAAGGCAATCACATGGCCATATATAAAGCACCAGAAGCGGAATCACCCACGGCTGCAATTCATATTAAGAACACATTCGCACAACACACTCAACCAGCTCGCACATCCTCCGCTGATATGGCGCCCAACAGCCTCCCCAGCCTCGAGCAGTTCCTCGACGAGCGAATCCGTCAACAAGCACAAGACTTTGGGGTCACCGATGACACCAACTGCGCCATCTGTCTGGAGCTCCTGCAAGTAGACTCCCAAGATCCGAGTACCCGCCTCGCTCAACTCCCCTGTCAACACACACTGCACTTCCACTGTCTACGAGACATGACGGAAGGTTACACCGAGAACCGCAACAAGTGCCCGAGCTGTCGACAAGAGCTCTTCGAGCTAAACTTGCTACCACCGGCAAGGGAAGCGCTGGCGCGGAAAGAAAAGGAGACGTATTACGACTGTGATGCGTCTTTTGACACCAAGCGCTATACCGAGCTATTGACGATCACCGACAACCTTTTCGACGAGCAACGCAGACTCCATGGAACTGGTGCGGAATGCTATGTCGGGATTCCAAAACGTGTATGCGCATCGCGGATGCAGGCGGGGCTTCAATGGGTTATGATTTGTGAGATGCACGCTGCGGCTGAATCCGCATGGTTGGAGCTTGAGGTTGCTCGGCGTGTGGAGGACCAACTCAGACATGCTAATATGTTGGAGACTTGGTCCGGTCGTATCTTCATGGGTGCGTTGGAGGTCATGCAGGATATGTTCGACGAACAGTTCCAGTGTTCGGATGACGAACGCGAGCTCGAGGAACGTGTTTCGGTAATGGACGAGGATGAGGAGGACGATGAAGGAAGTAAAGAGGAACCTGAACGACCAAACCCGCAGCCGTTAAGAGGATCTATGAACGAGATTTTCGGCCCAGATGTTGGAAGGCCGTGGACGCCTACATCTCGAGATTATCGTCCGATGGAACAATCTCCAAGTCCTCCGAGGGCTACACCACCACAGCGATCAACTCAGAGTCTACCACCACCAAGCCCGGATACGACATTGATGGTTGAAGACTGGCGCCGAGAGACCCAATCAGCGCCGTCACCTGCAAGTTCACCCACGTTTTCACATACATCATCAGACGACATATTTGCAGCCGGGATGATAAATGATGTCCGCCAACAAAACCAAAGCGCTCAGCAGCGTTTCCTACAAACCCGCGAGAGACTTCGGCGAGATCGAGTCAACGTCCTTGAGGTACTTAATGTGGCCTCGGTGGAGATATAGGCAAAACTTTTTCGGCCGCCCCCTAGCACTATTCGGCCGCCCCCTTTATAACTTCTCTATCTTAAGAGATAAAGCTTAACTTTCTACTACAAACTTATAGAACTATTAATTTTATATACTTTACATTAAGAAAGTTAGTCTTTATATCTAAGAATAAAAAAGTTATAGCTAAGAAAAGATAGACTTTTTAAGTAGAAAAAGAGAAAAAGTATCTTCTTTCTATATAACTTCTTTGTTTTTAGAGATATATACTAACTTTCTATATATAAGATATTTAGAATCTAAAGTTCTATAAATCTCTAATATAGAGTTAAGCTTTGTATCTTAAATTTAAGAAGTTATTTAGAAAATAAAGCTTTTTCTATATAAATATAGAGCAACTTCTTTATCTTAAGATATAAAGCTTAACTTTATATTAGAGACTTATAGAGCTTTAAATTCTAAATATTTAATATATAGAAAGTTAGTATATATCTCTAAATAAAAAGAAGTTATATTAAGAAAACTACTTTTTTAGGGGGCGGCCGAATAGTGTTAGGGGGCGGCCGAAAAAGTTTTGCCGAGATATATGGGCACCGGGCGCGACGGATCAAACTGCTTTCTGGAGTTGTAATTGGGATTGTGAGGGATGTTGACGGATATGACATGGTGGGTAGTATGGCGATATTTTGGCGCTGGCAGCCACAGGGTTGACGTGCTTCGAGGATGTTTGGACGTCAGACTGCCGGGTGATAGGTTGGTTTGCAGACTACAAACGCTGTTTGTCCGTTCGAGTGGAGGGGCATCAATTGATTTGTTGGCTACGATCGTTTGAGGTTCGTGGCGCCTGACGTTCGCGCTGCCTCGTCGTGACGACATGTTGTTTTGACAGAGGTGATAGCGTCATGACGAACGATTTTCACGCCGACAGCGCATGTTGGACGTCACGCTGATGAATACTTCGTCCCATGTATTCCCCCTCTAGCGCCATCTCAGATGTATAAGTACCTCTCCACTCCCCCCGACTTCTTCTTTCCTCATCACTCAGACATGGTCTGACCAAAAATGACTACCCTCACATGGGATGTCCGTCTAAAAACACGATTTCTACCTGGTCATGGTTTTGCTGGATTTGAAAAGAAAATTGCGATGTCGATCGATATGACTTGAGATGGTCTGTTGACATGGCGCACTAAATGCTGATTTGAGACGTGACTCTGAACATGACTTTCTTGATGGATTTTTGTACCCAGGTATAGAACCTGACATGAATAAAAATAGGAGTTTTTTGAATAAGCAATGATTAGAATAACGGACGAACAATCCCATCTCGCATGCCCAGACGTCCGCTCGCTAACCCCCGTCCTTACCCCAGACTTCTACCTCGGCACAACTAGCAATCCCCCGCTTATCGCACCTCACCACTTTCACTTCCGTCCCCCGTCCGAGTCCACTTCTAACGCAATCGAGCTACCCGACGTGCTGTCTTGGACTAGTCACCCCGTTTATGCAGCGGCGTCAGCAGAGATGCCTCGGGGTAGAGTAGAACCGGTGGATGGGTGCGCTGGGTCACACCATGCATGTATCGCGACTTCCCATCTCGAAAAGTGTCGTTGTTATATTTCAGACATTTGGATCACTAAGCAGAGGAAGGAATCGGTAGAACGTAAGTTACTATTCCTGTGTGTACGTGTACTTGATTGAGTGGTCGCTGATGGATGCCGAGTAGGATTTCGCTGACGCCTATATCGCCGGGCGTCTGACTTTGCAAGCCATCAACAAGGGCAACGGCACGGAGCGCATCGTGGATACCAATAGTGGGCCAAGAACCAAGAGTGATAAGAGTGGACCCCGTCATTACAAGTTGATTCTCCTCCTCGACATCTTTACGACGTTTGCTCAGCCAGCACATTGAACCGCCACCATGGTGATCAAATCCCGGTATTCGTTCCCCATACCCCAGGTCTCACTACCAACGTACATATTCGATTCGCCTACCGTAGAACTACCAAAGGAACCGTTTTATCTTTCGGCAAGCGAACCCGAAAAGTACAACATCTCGTTACACGATCTTCGTCTCTATGCGAAACGCTTCGCTTCGGGTCTGCAGCGCGCAGGCCTCGAACCAGGAGATCGCGTGTTGCTCTACTCGGGAAATACGCTCTTCTTCCCAGCAGTAGTGATGGGTATCGTCATGGCAGAGGGTGTCTTTACCGGCGCAAATCCCACTTACATTGCCCGAGAGCTAGCGTACCAATTGAAAGACAGCGGAGCGCGCTTCATGGTATGCGCAGAGGGCAGTTTGGACACAGGAATCGCAGCTGCGAAAGAGATTGGCATGGGTCCTGAGCGCATCTTTGTCTTCGACGATGGTGTTGCCACGTTCGAGGGCCGTAAAGTGGAGAAGAAGACGGAGCTCGGAAATGTCCGCCACTGGACTGAACTGCTCGACACGCCAGAATGCGGCGACGCATATTCATGGCCCGACTTGAAGACACCTGAAGAGCTCGATCGCATAGTTGCGCTCAACTACTCCTCGGGAACGACTGGTGTTGCAAAGGGTGTTATGATAACGCACAGAAACTATGTCGCAAACTGCAGCCAACAGATCCACATCCAGACCACCAGCCCCGACTACCATGAGAAGCTGAAGACGAAGAAGTACCTTTGCTTCCTGCCCATGTATCACGCTATGGCGCAAGCCATCTTCTGTTTCGGTGCGGTAAAACAACGCGTACCGGTTTACATGATGCCCAAGTTCGACTTTGTCGAGATGCTACAGAACGTATCAAAGTACCGCATTACGGATATGGTTCTGGTACCCCCGGTCATCGTGGCCATGGCAAAGCACCCCGCGACGAAGAAATTCGACTTGAGCTCCGTGACGGGCGTGTCTTCGGGCGCTGCCCCACTAGGCCGGGAAGTGATTGAGGAGTTCGAGCGGCTATGGCCGAACGGCCAAGTCAACGTCAAGCAAGGTTACGGCATGACGGAAGTCACCTGCGCAGCAACCACATTCCCGCCATCTGCCTACTCATCCAGCTTCTCTGTCGGCGAAGTCCTAGCAAACTGCGAAGCAAAGATCGTCGTAGATGACGACGGCAAGGTCGAAGCGCCGCAAGGCGAGAGAGGCGAGATCTGGGTTCGCGGACCCAACATCATGAAGGGGTACTGGAACAAGCCCGACGCGACCAAGGAGACTCTCACAGAAGATGGGTGGTTGAAGACGGGAGACGTGGCCTACGTGGATGAACAGAACCACTTCTTCATAGTTGATAGGAAGAAGGAATTGATTAAGGTCAAGGGTCTACAGGTTGCACCGGCGGAGTTGGAAGCGCTGCTGCTGGACCACCCAGATGTGCAGGACGCTGCTGTTATTGGCGTTAAAGCGTAAGTTTGCCCGATTACATCCGGTCTGTATCAACTGCTAACTTTTGTCAGTAATGGCGATGAACTGCCTCGCGCGTACATTATGCCTCAGTCGCCCGAAAAGGCGACGCCTGAGACGGCTGAAAATATCAAGAAGTGGCTGGCTGAGCGTGTTTCTAGACATAAGCGCTTGGAAGGTGGTGTGCATTTCATTGACGCGATTCCGAAGAATCCTTCTGGCAAGATTCTGAGGAAGGAGTTGAGGGAGAAGGCTGCGCTGGAAGATACCAAGGCGAGGTTGTAGATTTGATAGAGGCGTTCATAGAGGTAGAATCTCTGCAAGATAGCGATTCAGCGTTCAGTATGAATCGTAGAATGATCGAGTACGGGGTTCAAATCAGAGCTGTAGTTTCTTGCTCCAATGCCTTTCGTCCAGAATGCCAATTGGCCCCGAAACATGGATTTGATGTCTTCATGATTCTTGATGCTTTGATATATACATGCAGCATGCTCCGCTCGTGACTGACACGTTCATGGACCATTCCCGCATAACACCTTAGTTGCTTCGCTGTCCGTTCTTGGCCGCCCTCAGCTCGTCCATCTTCTTGACCCGCTCCTTGAACTCGTCGTACTGGCACTTTTCGTATGAATGCCTCTCGTTCTGGAATTCTTGTCAGCCGCCCACTCTGGCCCTTCTTCATCCATTCTCGCGTACCTCGCACTTCCATGGTAGGTAGTACTCCTCGTACCGACACCGGTTCAAGGGGATAAGAAGATGTGCGCATGAGTCTCGGTAGGGGAGCGGTAGTTTGGCGGCGCTCATTTCCTCGCGGGTAGCCTCTGCGGTCCCGTCAGTTTCTATTACTTGAATGCGTAGGATGCGTGGGCCGGCGTACTCCTCGGCTCGCCGTCAAGGCCGACGGCATGCTTGATGGTTTCTGTGACAGTCATACTGGCGGCCCAGGGGGTTATTTATCGTCAATGGCGCGCGGGGGGGTGGTGGGCGGAGGGTCTTGGGCGGGCGAGCTTGGTGAGGTTCACTTGGTGTCGGCAAAGGCAGCTGATGACCCCGACGCTTGGCAGGGCAGTCGCGAACGCGGACTCCAACGCGCCTTCCCCCAGGTCTGACGCGAACCGCAGACACGCCTTCACGAAATCACTTGACACGCCCCGAGACACCTTCTACAGCTAACCGAATGGTGAAGATGCCCCCCGCGCCCGATGGCAAGATTTACTCGGCAACATACAGTAATGTGCGCACTCCCCACTGCTTGCGACACCTCACCTTTGCGACGATGCACTGACAAAGCCCGCCTGCAGGTCCCCGTCTACGAGTGCAATGTCAACGGCAACCATGTCATGCGCCGCCGCGCCGACGACTGGATCAACGCGACCCACATCCTCAAGGTAGCCGATTACGACAAGCCTGCGCGAACCCGCATCCTCGAGCGCGAAGTCCAGAAGGGCGTGCATGAAAAGGTCCAGGGCGGCTATGGCAAATACCAGGGCACATGGATACCGCTGGAGGAGGGACGTCATCTGGCAGAGCGGAACGGCGTCCTGGACAAGATGCGCGCCATCTTCGACTATGTCCCTGGCGACCGCAGCCCTCCTCCTGCACCCAAGCATGCGACTGCTGCGTCGAACCGCAT